GGTGTTTAACATTAGGTATGCGATTGGAAATCCTGCGCTATGATGCTACCAATTATTCCATAAAGCTCAAACCATCCTTTAGCAGTTTTATATGTAGCATCACAATGAATGCTAGACACAGGTGAGAGTTTAGTTAGTAGCGGAGTGATGAATCCAATTGCTAATACTAAATTATCATTCCATTCATAACACAATTCGCTATTATAATCAGGATTATCTAAAAAGTGATGTGTTGAAATAAAAGGATCTTCATCTAATTTGAAGAAGCGTTGATTAAACATGGACCACCAATAATTGATTTGTTTTAGAGTTACTTGTAAAGCATCAAATTTTTGACGGATATGCGTTCACAACTGCACTGGATCCATATGAAGGTTCTGCATAATTTCATGTTTTATTTCTTCTGGGGTTGAAACGTCTATAGGCTTTTCATGTTGAATATCATGACTAAGTTTTACTTTTACTTCTTTTGCTGCTATATCGATACCGATGATTAACTTGCCATGACAATCAAAACAAACCATCCTTTTACGGTTTGATTCTTTATAATCGCGCCCCAATTCATGACACTGAGAGCATGCGAGATAGAATTTACCAACCCCAGAATGACGCACAGATTTGGTAGGTCCAGTTGTAAATCTATTAAGATAAAAAATTATTAATTTAATGGTTTGGTTTGATTTCGTGGTTTAAATCGAAGGTTAAAGTGCGCCACCGGCACCCTAGGCTACACTAGGTTAAAATCAAAAAAAAAAAAAAAAAAAATCGAAGGTTACTTACGTCCAATGATACCCGTCTCCTTCCTCAATTTCGTCAACTATTAATTTTGCCAAAAGTTTCATATCATGATGCGCATTTGTCAGTACATTATCATCAAGTTCAATACGCAAATTAAAGGAAATGCCGGAATCATCCTCAAGGTTAGTAAGTTTATTAGAAACATATTCTATAATATTCGTAAAGGCGATTTCTTCCATATTTAATTGACTTTCTGTTTGATTATTCATGTTTTCAAAGTCGTTATCAGATGGAATAGATCGTTTCTCCGCTCTCTTGTTGGACTTTGTAGTTAAGCAAGTAGAACATGTTTTATAAGATTTGTTATTATGGATAAAGGCTTCTGGGGATAATGAACGTTTGCATGTACCACATGTCTTCATATCCATATTTGCCGTTAAAAACAAGGGTGGTGCAAATTATTATTAAAGTTTTATTTTATTGGTAAGTTTATTTTTCTAAACGGTATATTTAGTGGAATAATAACTCGAGAAACATGAGTTAAATTGTTAAAGGTAAAAACGTTTTCCTTTTATATATATGTTTTTTTTAAATTGTACATCAGAATGTCTTTAACAATAATTATATGTAATAATTTGTATAGCTTCCACTTGGTCCAAAAACATCGCATTACGAATATTTCTATAGATTCTATATAGCATGTATTACACGTAGAGATTGTACCCGGGTAGACATTTTTAATATATGGCACAATAAATTACCCGAATAACTGGGTAATTTAATAATACCCGGGTAGAAATTTTCTTGACGGATACAATCTCTAATTACACGATTTTTTTGCTATGCGGTCATATAATACACGAGGCAATTTAAAATGAGTACACATCTCAGCTTGTTGTGTTATGCAAAATAGCGTTATGTGTAAATAACAATTTGAAAAAATTGTTATAATATAGCCACGTAGTGTCTGGAGTGCTTATTGCTCTTTCGCGTTTATAATGCGTGAAATTTTCACAAAAACTTGTGGGCCACGTGGGATCTACAACAATTTCAACGTGAAGGTCATTTGGTCGTTGAGCGTACAATGTGCAAAATACATCTCGGATCATGTACCTAAGCCATAATGTGCAAGTGCACGAAAAATTCTACTGAGCACATAATGTGCAAGACAAACAAGAATTCTGTGCCATGTTTTGTCGATCATGATCGTCAAAACCTGGCACAGAATTCTTGTTTGCATGCGCAAGTGTATGTAGGAAGAAGTTCGTATGATTGATATCAATAGGAATTCGAATTACAGAAGAATGGATTGCATAAGTTGAACGTAATTATCAGTGCCGTTGGAAATCGCGATTAAATTTGGAGAATTCCTTATTCTGTGGAATTGGTGAAGTTATGCGTCGATACTAATGCAAATTTTAAAGGTAGCATTTTCCAAATTCGTGTATTTTCTTTTTATTCCTAATGATCTACATTAATTTGTCCCTTTT